AAGATATATTGTTTTAAACTTTCTTTTCAATATTAGTCATATGGTTATTGTAGGCAAGCTAGCATTTAACTCATTGTGTCAAAATATGAGAGATGTTGTTTCTTTCATGATGTATACCTTGTTATATACAAATAAAATAAAGAAATGATGTTTACTTACTTTTAAAATATATATATATATAAACTATATTTAATTCTAATCTATATTATTTAAATATATTAACTTGTTATTATCAACTTGTTTAAAGATAGATACTTAAGTTAATATATCAAAACCTTGATTAATTCTATTAACTTATATAAATAACTATTTTATACTTTATTTGAAAAATGTATTAAGAAAAAAAATATAAAATAAATTGAAAATAATATTTATTTTTAATAAATAAAATAATTATAAAAATTCTATTTACTCTATTAGAAATTATATTTTTTTACTATTATTTGTAGTTAGATTAACTATTTAATTTTTTACATATTTAAATATTACTTAAGAATATTCAAAGTAAGCTTATAACTAGTATTTATTGCTTAATTGGTCATATACTTTTGCTACTATATAGATCTTATAGCCAAATACCTTTTTGAAATAAGTATTACCAAGTTAGTTTATTATTAAATTAAAACAAACCTTGAATAGAATTTTTATAAAAAAAATAGGAGTTTTAAAAAATATCAAACCAATATTAAAATAGTATTAAAATAATATTGATTTATAGTAAATTTAATATATACAGTAAATTGTAATCTATTTATATAAATTTATAGTAAATTTAAGTATCAAACTGATATCAAAATAATATTAAAGTAGTATTATTAAAAACCTTAGAAAAGATATTAAATATTATAAAAAGCAATTATTAAATCTACTAATTAAAAGCAAATATCTTATAATTTCTAGAAATCATTATAATACTAGTCAGATGATTATCATATTACAATGTCTTTTCTGGAAATTACATTCTTAACATTCACTAATCAATATATAAAAATAACTTTTTATAAAAATAATATTTAACAAATCATAACATCAGGTACTTTATTAATTCTATTTAACTATCTTCATTTAAAGTTAAATTGATATCTTATAATCTGAACCTGAAAATATTGATTATTGTACTATTAACTAGGGTTCTTAATAGTACCATTTTGGTATTCTGTTCAGAACCTACTATTAACCTATAGGTTTATAACAATTTATCAATCCCGGCATTCTTCGCTATATCTCTCACCAGGTCATGAAATTCCGGATGAGTGACAAACACGAGAACCATTAATATAATAAAGGAGTTCGGGTGGTGGATGTGCCTTACCTAGATGACATTAGGGTTACAGTTGAACCTACCCATCATATAAATAAAAAAGGTTCACGGTATCTAACATAACGGAACCGCAATACCACCGGTCGACCATATTGACCATTGTGCTACTACATATTCATAACCGCTGGGACACAACAAGACCACTCTTGCTTCATTCAAGTCTCCTCCTACTGCTCCAGATTCCTCTAACAACCTTTTTCGAAATTTCATTACATCCGATATTAACTGGCGATAAGAATGCCGGGTCCCAGCTTGGCGACTCCATGGAGCGTTGTCTTATACCATCTGCACAAGATAACAATCGTGTCACCCATCAAATAGTGATCTACTTCCCTCGCTGCTTGTCTGCCCTCATTGATACCCCACACGATCAAACT